TTATCTCTTCACATCATGTAATGCTTATATTTTGCAATTGCAGATAAAAGTGATTAGGACTTTCTTAGTCTGACGTTTCAATTTTACTGTGTTTGTGGAACTCTTACAGCATGTTAATAATGTGTAAGGAAAACAATGGAACAATTGGATGTGTCTAAGAAGGTTTCAGCAAGTCTTTGAATAGTAAAAAGAATGTAAATAGAACAGCATTCTTTCTGAAGTAGTGGAAATAGTTTGTCAGTCATGAGATTATCCTGTGGTCCATTATTTGCTTCGCACAAAGAAATTCTTGAGTACCTTCTACTTCTGTTGGTTGTGTTTACTGAGCACTATTCTCAGGGTTTCATCTTCTATTCATAGTGCTTCCCATTAGTTAAAAGCAAGCAGTCCTGTGAGCATAATCTACAGCTATTTGCTGTGCTGAGATAGCGTATTGTGCATACTTTTCTAGAAACCAGTTGACTCAGATAATCTAAAGCGATTAGAGAACAAATAGATTAAAAATTTAAAAAACATTTATTTTCCCTGTTTTTTTTTGTCTTCCAGTTTTCAGTGTTCATATGTATCTGTTTGTTCCTGTTACTTCCAATACAGAACATGTGAATAAAATCTGGTTGTTTTATATTCGGACAAATTGATCATAATAACAGACACGATCTTACAAGTGCATTGTACAGTAATAGTAATGCTTTCCCATCTATTATATAACTATTTGGTAATTGCCCTTTTCACATCTACATCATGTTGGTGGCTTATAATTAATTAGGCTGCTCAAGTTTTTCTTTTATTACTATAACATACTGATGAACTCCTACACTGTAGCAGTAATCCTTATAGCATGACATGCAGTGTTAAAGTGACAAAAGTAAGACCTGTATCTCATAAACCTGTATGGTTATCCTGTTTGATCATCCTGATTCATCTGTATGGATAGTACTGTCCTCTTTGATATTGGTGAAATCTGCCTTTTCTTTCATGTAAATGTATGCTTAAGAAATCTAGATCTAGGCAGAACAATTTTTTAGAAATGTTTCAAGAATAGAGCCCACACTGTGGGACTTTAGAAGTCTATTGAATTTTTTAGATTAGCTTCTGTATGGCACAGCTCACATTCACTGACGTAGCTAACAAAACATTTCTTAAATAAAATGTAATTGCTAGCTTGCATTTATAGGTGAGATTGCAGGATGATTATTTTTACTCTCTCGCTAAATGGGGAGGCCTTTATACAAATGTATATTTTCCTTCTTCTTGCCCTTATTTCTCCCCCACTCATTGATCCTCTATTTATTTATTGAACATTATGATCTTTTTTTTTAACTGTTAGTTGTCCTCCTCGCTTGTTTCTCCTCACTGTTTCTATATGTTAAATGCTATCTTCTAAAATTCATGTTTGTTTATAGATTACCAGATTGCTTTAAATTTGTTTGTTTAAGGAAGGTCCGTAATATGCTAGTTGTCAAACATCTGTATCTTAAGTTTTCTCAGCTATCTTGCTTTTTCCGTTTATCAGGCAGATTAGCCAGGGAGCTTGTTTTCTTTTTACTATTTACAGACTAAACTTGGGCTTCTCATTATCTCAGCAGACTTGCCTCTCACTTTTAGCTACTTCATAGGAATGGCTTTCTTGCAGAAAAAAAATAATAATTCTGTAAATGTGATACTGCCATTGGTTTCCTTCCATCTTGTGTTTCAGTGAATTATCCATATTGATAAAATAAATATAAACTGTATATTGTTTATTTTTGACCTAGGTAGCTCAGAAATTCCATGAAACAAAAGATTTTACTGATGCTTACACAGTGGTCTTCTTTGTCTGATCATATTTTATAGTAACTTATGGTTTTTTTTATTTGGTCTAATTGCTGAAAATTCAGGTTCTTGGTTCAACAACTTACCACTACATGAAAGTTCATTAATAATTATTTTGAGGTCTCTTAAAAATTCATCTTTGCAGCATTATTGTTAGATGTGAACAAGTTTTGCCAAGAATTTAGGCTTTCATCAGCACTGTTTGTATGTGGATGTGAACAACAGAAGAATTTTGTGGGTGTAAGCAGAAAAATCACATTTTTCTCTGAACATTTGTATAATGGCCACTTTTAAAGGCTAAACTGTAAACACAGAAGAAAAGGCTTTCACACCATGGAATGTAAGACAAAATATTTCCGGGATCCATATTGTGGGAGTTATTATAGAGCACAAAATGCTAAGTAAAAATTTGCTATATGCTTGGACAGCTTACTCTTCAAGAATTGAGATGGAAATCAGAGTCCTTTTCAGAGACATACCACTGATCCAAAGCCGTCCACTGATGGCTTTGGAACTAATTGAGAAGAGTACCCACAAGTGCTTTATTATCTAGTGCTTGCAATACCAATATATTGTGGAGATTTTGTTTCAAAAGTAAGTTTTGTATAATGGGGGAAAAAAAAAACAAAACAAAACAGAAATCGTATTGTCCTCGAAGTTAATATATCAGTTTTACGTTTATGTAATGTATAAACTGAAAGTCAGAGTTAAGGTTACATTGTTTAATGAGTAGATATTATCACTGGGAAGACAAATTGAACAAGCTTTTGAACGCATAAGCTTTCTTCATGTCTGGATCATAAAAGTCAGATTTTAAGGGCAAAGAATAGCTCAGACTATCAGAAAATCTTTGAGAAAAAAAGATTGCTGGTACATGCAGAGAAGATGAGATGTTAATAGATAGAGGGAGAAAAAGCATGAAGGATTCTATTTTATATGTTTTGATCAGAATAGTTGCAGATCCTTATACAGTAACCTGACAAGGTTGTGTATTTCCATGGAAATTGTTTGTAATTTTGAAAGAGTTGTCAAAAATCCACGTAAGGAATGCATTTTAAAAAAGAAAACAAATAAAATGGAATGATATTCTGGCACAGGTGGTTTTCTTTTGGAAAAAAATAAAACTTTAAAAAAAAAAAAAAACCTTAAAAAAATACATATATCTCACTTTCACATCTAAAGCTTTGCCCAGGTACAAGTAGTTGTAGATTTTGTTCTAAATTTTCTGAAAGCCAAACTTTCAGTAATGAGATTGTAATCAGATAATTGTGTAAACTACAAATTAGAAGTTAAAAAGAAAAACACTGAAGGACAGAGGACAAGAAAAAATGTCGTCTTCTTGCTCTTCTTTTTCATCAATTATTTTTTTGACTACCTGGCCATTTCTTACTTGATGAAAACTTCTCTCTGTAGTGAGGAATTTGGCTTCTGTATTAGGCTTGTAACCAGAAGTTTGCAGTTGCTATTTTACCAGCTCACAAGCCTTATCCATAATATGCTGAGTGTAAAAAACTATAAATACAGATAATGTAAATGTCTTCTGAATTTTATTTTTGTGGTTGCTTGGAATAGTTATTTTTGAATTTTCTCATTAATTTGACCATGGGATTTGACTCTAAATGCATCTGATAAAGGTGTTTTTCCTTGTGAAACTAAAACAAAAACAAACAAAACAACAACACAGAGAAGCCATCATATACGATCTTATAGATTCTCTGCTAGGAAATGTGGGTTTTATTTTTTCCTTCCTCTGTATGGCTCACAACTAAAAATTGATTTTGTTTGTTTGTTATAATGCAGTAATTCTTTTTAGACTCTTGTTAGAGATCAGCATTCTCTTATGTGAGAGTATTTAAATATGTAATTAGTTCCACATCTGCCAATAGTGAGATATTCACAGCAAAGAGGACTTACTTTCAAGTACTTCTTCCATTTTAATTTTCATTTATCATAAGTAGATCAGTTGTAACATGAAAGAATGAAGTGGTTTAGTCAGTAGATATGATGTGCAAGGTCAGATCTGTTTAGAGTCGAGCTGGATGGAAAATGAATGACAGTGGCCAACAGGGAGGTATTTGCTTGACTTCCATGATTCAAGTGAGAATGTTATTGGCCCTAAATAAAGAGATGGGTATTGGTTTGCTTAACTTGAGAAATTTTTCCATAGGATGTTTTGAGCTTCAGCATAATCTGTGATAAAGTTTGTTAGACGTGAAGGAGGAAGTGCTTACCAAATTCCAAAATACAATCTCACTGGAAAAATAGTGTAACAGTTAGGCAATGTTTTAAAGAAGTGGTTACCTAAAGAGATGGATTAGTCTCTCAGTAGTTCTGATGATAAGCTTTTCAGAGGAAATACTTGGCTGTTGAGAACCTCTTAGTTATATTCAGGCTCTAATAGGCTGAAAGCAAACAAATTCTTTTTCTTACTGGCTATCATGAGTGTATGTGACATCAGGATGATGATGAGTAGAGAAATGAAAAGTGCAAAATCCCTCACTTTCTAGTTTAGGAGGGAAAATAGGAGGGAAATTCCTATTAGGTACTTAGTTTCACTATGATTTTTCACAGTAGAAATCAATGAAATTTCCTTAGAATTCTGTTCCTGAAATGAGTAACACATAAAATTAGGTCAATATTCTAGGAAGTTGGGTATTCTATACAAATACTGATACTTGTACAATGTTGGATATTGTTTTGGTTACAGGATTCTTTCTCTTATTTGTTCTTTTGAGTGTCCAAGTGAACGTACAGTGATCAGATTTTTCTGAAGTAAACCAAATGTTATGCTTGAAAAAACAGCATTGATTCCTGTGGGTGACTTATAAAGTAAGGTATAAAGCAAAAATTTAAGGATCTGGTACTGAAAAATCAGGAAGCTTTCAAATGCTATTTCAGGTGCTTGAAACGTTAGTTTCATCTAAACAACTGAGATGAGTGGCAGCTGTTCAAAAAATATAAGTGAGCATACTAATTTTCTTTCTGATCTTTACGTCAAATATTTTGGTATTTTAGTATCTTGTGATATATCTGGCTGGAGACTTAATGATTCTTGATACTCTGCAGTGATATAAAATCAATTATTATTTTCTAAATGTACTTATTAGATGGCATGAATTATCTGTCAACCTGATAATATTGTATTTGTTTTGTAAAATTGTATTTGACTATTTATTTTATATTTTCAGGTAGAAATTGAGAAGCTGGACTATCATTATTATCTGCCTTTGTTTTTTGACGGACTTTGTGAAATGACATTTCCATATGAGTTTTTTGCTCGTCAAGGAATCCATGACATGCTGGAACATGGTGAAAACAAGATTCTTCCTGTCATTCCTCAGCTCATTATCCCAATAAAAAGTAGGTGAAGATGTGGGAGGAAAAAAAACCTAAAATTGCATTTATATGGCATAGATTTTTGACAAGTTGCTAATTAAGCAACAAAACATGACAGGCCGTAAATTTCATGTAGATTAGTGCAAACTTGAGTAATTCATAAGGTGTAAGGCCAGAAGGTTTATGCCTTCAATCACATGGTAGATGCAGATCTCCAGAAAAATAGCCTGTCTGTTGAGTCTTTTTCTTATTACAGAATGACTCCTTGTCTTTGGAACTGTGAAGGGACATTTTCTTACCTGATTTTTATGCATTTATTGTGTAAGTCTGTTGCTGTATGAAACAGTTCATCTGAAATGACAGGAGAAATCATCAGATGAAAATTACAGAATTATGTGTTCTAACATTTTTTGTACATTATGTAATGAGATGGAATACCACTAAGACTAAAACTTAATTTTTTGAAACATCTGTTCTTTCACATGTACTGTTTTGTCCTACCTGGTTGTTTAGATCTATACCTTCACTAGGTTGTGTTTGGAACCAATATCCTTCTCTAGTTTGATTATATGATTCTTAAGTCTATGTGTTATACATATGCTAGTAAATCAGACAGTGTCATGCTGCAATTCTCAGTGTGGGAACATGACAGAACTGTTTTATTGGAAATGGAGTTTCAGCCCATGCTAATTTGCCCTCTCCTGAAAAATTCTTGGATACAGAACCATTACCAATAGGAGTTTTGATGCAACAACCTTTTTTCTTTCTTTCTTTCTTTTTTTTTTTTTTTAATTGAGAAAGAGAGTATGAGAGTTGAATAGGTAAACTAATGTTAATCTGTGCCAGCTGGCTTCCATTTTTTTTTCCAGGTGTAAACTATATAATCCTAGCACTAAAAAGCCATGTTGATAAACTTGATTTCTATTTTATGGTTGATTGGTAATGATATCATTGCTGTTCTTTGCCCTATTTCTGTAGATGATTCAGCATCCATGCTAATGCAGAACAAAACAGAGTCATTCTCTTTGTGTTACAGAATGAATTGTCAAGCAAAATTTTAGAAAAGGGGAAAAAGAATATAGTTTGGCTTCTGATAATACTGATGTATTAATACTGGAAAGATCAGAATTGTTTTGTTTTATTCATTAGCTTTGTTCTCCTTTTAAAAGATCAATTAGTGATGTCACTATATCCATCTTTCTGTAGATTTTGAAAATGCCAAAAGGAGTATATAATTTTAAAGAATGGTTACTCTGTAAGTGATACTTGTGAAAGGTTATGGAAACAACATCACTCATTTTTCTCTCTAAGACAGGAATCATGTCATTTCTTTAAATCTTTATTTTCAACATCATCCAAATAAATTTATAGTGGTATTTTTTTATTTTTTATTTTTTGAAAGCTGAAATTGTTTCTTCAGAAAAGACTGCAAGTTTATGACAGCAGCTCCAGTTGGGATTTAAAAGTCTAGCTGAGACTAAAATCTAGCTTAAAAATAATTACCTAGAAGATTTATTGGTTGCACAGCTTTTAGCATTAGAAAAAGAGTGCTAGGTAAGGATATTTATATGGGTTTGATATATAGCCTTTTAAATTGAGTCAGTATTTAAGGTGTTGAAACCAGTTCAAGAATGTGCTGGCTGAATTTATTTGTTGGCTCTGTTTTATTTTACTGTACAGTGTTCACTGGTGGGTTTTTTTTGTTGCTTTTGTTGATTTTTTTTTTTCAAAGCTTCTGTATTATTTGTGAAGTGTGAAGAGACTAAAAAGCATCTAAACATGACAAAGACTTCTTCCTGACTAAACCCATAATGGTATGTTAAAAAGACACACACCATTTCAAGGAACCTGGAACTGTATACCTCTAAGAGTTTCTGAAATTCTCTGTGCCTGTGTAATATAACAGTGTAGTCAGAGCTGTATATTTTTGTGACTAAGCTCCATCCCCAATAAGATCAGCTATGTTTTATGCAGATTACTGTCTCCTCTGGGTGTGTTATATCTGATTATCCATCCTTCTTTTAGACCACTACTATATTTCTACTGCAACTAAGAGCAAATCAATTGATCGTTAGCCAATATATATATATGATGGAGAGGAAAGGGATAAAAGAAAAACAGAAAAATAACTCTGCAAATGAAGTGCTTCTAAAAGCAGTTTTCACTCCTGCATTTGTGTTGAAGGGAAATATTAGCAAAGGGCTGCTCTCAAAAAACATTTTAAATTAAATTAGTATTTTTTTTAGAATTAAAAGATTGAAGGAGAAATCTGTCAACCTACCCAAGACTAATGATTTGTTTAAAGTTCACACTTATTTATTATTGTATCTTAAAGATGAAAATGAAATTACTTAATAAATGTGCGGTGTACTCTAAGTCCTAATCACTTCTACAAATTTTCACCCAGTTATGCAAACAAGCAATGACTAAGAAAAGGGAGATAACTGAAATTAATCAATACAGTTTCCTTCCTGAAAAAAACTGAAATAATTCCTTATTTTTATTTGCCACCTTGACAGATGTTTGGTTTTAAAGAATTGAGAGGAAGAAAAAAAAATCAGATTGGGGATGCTGATTTCTCAAAAAGTATTCAAAATATATTCTGGTTTCTCAAAATAAGAATTCAAATCATATTTTATTTTGCAGTGGCAAACTGTGATAAAATTGTCTACAAGTATTGTCATTGAATGATGTAGGAATAGGAAAAACAAATTACCTGGAATGTCAAGCCTGTAATGAGTCCAACTAAAAATTAAAAATGCAGAATCGGAAAATGCAAATACCTCAAGATGTTAAGACTTTTAATTCCATTTCTTTGGTAGCATAGGCTAATCCACTGAGTTATGTAAACTAAAACTGCGATCCGTAATTTGAGATGTACTGCAAATAGTGGAGTACTATGTAGGTAATACAAAAATTCTGATGTATAATGCAGAGTATCTTCTCCCTGGCCAGGAAGCTCCATACTGTTATTTTCATACTATAGACAGGGCAGGAAGGAGGCTAATTCTGCTAATCACAAACTATATCTGTAGAAGGAGGCAGAATAGAACCCAGATACACATCTCTGGGGTAGAAAGTTGAGCTGCCTATAAGAAACTGGAGCATTCCTTTATTTTTAGGGAACAAAAGGGTCTGTCTGTACCCCACGTCTTTCAGTAATGCATTGATTTATTTTAAAATTGACTTGTGGCCTGATCTTATCTATAGGCAGCTAAGAATAGCCAGGAAAAGGCAGAGAGGAGGTGAGAGAGGGATGTTGTACTGTTTGCTTGCTAATTGAATGCTCCTGTTCTAAATTCTTTGTGGTCATTATATGTAAAATTCCTTTTCATACTTTTTTTTTTTGAGGCAACTCATGTTTAATATTATGTTTGCCATAACGAGATCAGAAAAGCCATAATTCCTTATACTTGCTGTTAGGTTTTTGGAACTCTGAGAATCCTGCAAAATTCACCAGATTTGACATGAGATACACAGGCAAAAACACACACTGAGGAGGCAGGATGTTATTACCCTTTTATCTGGTGTTACTATAAGCAACATCAGGGGCATCAAACACAGTTTATGGAAGCGCCTGCTTTCCTTTCAAAGGCACCTATTGCTCTTCGTTAAGTGTAAGAATTTACCTTTTTTTATTTCTTGCTAACAGCATGATTGTAAGAGCTTCCAAGACCTTCACATGCAAGGAACCAATTGTTTCATCCCCTTCACTCCAGCTCATTTCAGTCGATTTTAGCTAATGCAATTGTTTGTGAATCTCACTTCCTGATGTATTCAAAAAGACCCAATCAAATGAAGAAAAAAAAAAAAAAACACCAAACCTAAAATAATAAAAAAAAACATTTTCAGAGGGAAGTTACTTGTAAACTCAGATGATATCAATGGCCTAGTTTGTAGCAGCTCTGTCAAAAGTGAAAGAATAGCATGCTATAGCACAGAAGTTGGAATAAGTAAGTAGAGATGATTAGTAGAAACATCTTGTTATAGCTTTGCTAATGAAGATGATGTGAAAGTAAATACTTAAGCAGCTTGGATTGCCCAGTTGCCAGAATATTTTGTTTTCTGAGTTGTGAATCCTAAAATGGACACATAGGAAATATGAACCTAGGCCTAAAAGCCAAATAAAGCTCACGTTTGCACATTAAATGTAAATTAGATGGAAGTACCGTTTTTATAGACAGCAGACCTGACTGAAAAACACTTCTGATTAAATTGAAAAAGAGCAATCTCTATACTAAGGAACACTGAAGCTTTCCTTTTTTTGTTTTTTTTCTATGATCATTAAGAAATACAGATTTTTGTGGGTCAGAGAAATGTACAGAACAGTATTCCCTCAATGTGACCTACAAAATCCTTTCTAATATCTAATACATTTCTAAATTAAACTTACTTTTGTTTTCTTATATTCAACATCCAGTTGTAAAATGTGGGTTGATGTCTTGGACAACTATGTAATTAATCCACGTTTAATATCAAATGAGGGCAGGTGTTACATTTAGATGAGTAGAGCTGAACCTGTCAATAGTAGTTTTTCTAAGCATATTTATGTGGAAGATCTTTTTTACAACAAAGAGTAATGGAACACTGGAACAGCTTGCCCAGAGAGGCTGAGGAGTCTCCTTCTGCAGAGAAATTCAAGACCCATCTGGATGCCTACCTGTGTGACTGATTACAGGGTACCTACTTTAGCAGTGGGGCTGGACTCAATGTTCTCTTGAGGTCACTTCCAAGCCCTGCAATTCTGTTATTCTGCAATGTCTTCACTGTACTTGAGACATTTGTAATCATTAAATACTTCCTTATTTCACAGAATACCAACATATTTTTATGCAATAAATAGAGTTTTCTGGGCTGTATTCTTTCTCATTCTTTATCATCTCTGTTCCTTTCTGTCATCTATAGAAAATGGATTGAACCTTTTATGACTTAATTGTTTTCTTTCTCTTGACTGACTGTTGCTCTTTAGCAGTTCTAGTTGTTAAGAACATGGGTGGGAAACTAAATGTAGAAAACTTTCGTAG